TATATATAAGAACATCATCTTTCCTTATATATGATACTTTATATTTAAGACCATTTAACTCTCAGTTGGAAAATAATTTGTATATTAAGTTATCATTATTTGTTACTACGTACATGAAGCATTTGTGGAGAGGGATATAGAAGATCTACAAAGAGATTATGAGAAGACTAAGAAAGCCACAAAGGAGAAGATTGAAGAACTGGATGAGCTTAGAGGCAAGTCTTATCTCATTTGCACCTGCAGATGATAATTGACGATGTCACATGCACCCTTCTAGGTTCAGTGATTCTTGAGCAGCAGTACTTATTGGTGTTAGCAATGAAGTTAATACCATTAAGTATTACCGGTTGAGAGCTGCTTCACTCAGCAGGCAGAGCTCAAGAGAAAACTATAAATGATATCCATCCACAAAAGAAAATATGGGAAACAGAAATTAGAAATCTAGTATGTAATTGGAAAGAAGAAGTCAACAAACAGTAAAAGGCAAGTTTTAGGGTATACTTCAGTCTCACAATTACGACTAATTAAGAACACTAGTGAGGTTTAATCATCCAGATAGAAATGTCATCATTCCTCATAATACTGAATGTTTAACCTTAAAATGGAAAAATAATTTTATTTCAACAAATCATTGCTTTTGAATTCCTAAAGAGTGTGCGGAAAGGTATGAAAAAGAGCTCATGGAAGTCATTGAAGATGATGAAGAGAAATGGAAAGACCATAGAGGTACGTTAGGTCACTTAACAATAGATTTAACAAGGTCAGTGTATCCAGAAAGAGTGGGTACTTAAAAAAAAGAGAGTGGCTCTTTTCCTAAAAAATATCAATAGATGTAGAAAAAAGGATACGTTTGCCGAGTACGTTATAAAGTTTAGAAAAGAAACATAGACACGCAAACTAAATCAAATAGGATTTAGGCTGGGCTAAAATGATCTTACCAATGAGACGCGATGGTTTCATGGTCAGCACGTTGACTCTATTTAAGGAGGTCTGGGTTCGAGCGGGTGCCTTCGGAAAGACACCGAGCTGTTACAGTATCTTTCTCCACAACGGAACGTGAATGGCTACCGGCAAACTGCCAAGGATATCTGATGAAATGCCGAGTATTGGTCGAGATTATCGTTGCTACTTGACTCAATTCCTTTCACTGCTAATAGAACATACGTCCATGAAATTGTCCTAGAGACTACAGTGTCTCCTTTTTGTTGATTGATTCAATCTCGGGGGATGTTTCAGGTTTAAACAAAGAGGATCATTTTGAGAATGACGAAAAATTGCCAGTCGATTCACATAAACGCACGCTACTACAAAGACTGAAAGGTAAGGCTGACTTGCTAATCATGAGGTCCTTTGCCCTCTCGCACTTCGTTACCGATTGATATACGAAAGTTGATCTCAACTCACTTTAGAGAAGCAAGGAAAATTCTTATGTGTAGACCGGTGACGTCTTGTTGTAATCGTGTTTCTGCAGGTCGCTGCTGTAATGGCCCGTGATCTTGTTTCTCGTGCGGGGGAAATCAACTTTAAAAGAGTTAATGTCAGTAGAATGGTCCCAGTTTATTGTTTCTAGATGAGAACCGATACAATTCTGATTTCATTTAAGACTTACGTTAACTTGCATAACTGACTGACTGACTGATACGAATGTGGAAGGTTGTGAACTCAGTGCGATGACCTCATATGTACCCCTCCTGTAACCGACGGTAACTGTGGCAAAGTGATTTGGTTCAATTCCAGTCACACATGACCGAAAAACTACTTTCCCTACCCATCCGTCTATATGTTGAAGCTTAGTGGGGAGATACAACACTCTAACTATAACTGTTCTGTTCTATAAGATCTCTGTAGTAAAAATTTGAGGAAAAAGAAAAAAAGTATTGCTGAAGCGCCCACGAACTTTGTATCATTTGAGCCAAAAGATGAAGAGAAAGGTAAACCTTTTTCTGTCTGTCATTCTCATTTGTCGTGCCCGAACTTATACACCCGAAGTTGGGTACCGTAGTTGAATAGGCAATGAAAATCAGCGTCATTTCTCCGCTCAAACTTTGGAGCCCGAATGAGCTCAAAAGTTCATTTTTTCTAACTTGCTACACTGAAACTTTCATGGTATAAAGGTGAAGTACAAATTCTGTAAACTCGTCAAGCTCTACTTCAGCGCGATGTGTATGTCGCAAAGTTAGGCCACTACGATTCATCGACTTACAACAATTCATGAATTATTCGTGTTCTTTTATGGGCATGACATGCATTTAAAACACCACAGATCCATAACTTGAAATCTAAGTTCAAATCGCTTATTTTCTGAGTCAGGACTGCATGTAAATAAACACTGAAATAAACAGTGGGAGGCCCATCTCTCGATTCTGTCTCTTCCGTAAGGTAGGGTCCTGATTATACTTAACTTGTCTGAGATGCGTAATTTTAAACAGGATTAGCTGTAAGAGCCTGTGGAGGGTCCCATATCAGAGATCTTGTGCAACAGGATATGGTAAGGAGGCAA